ATATGGGGTTTATTTCCATTCATTTAAATCTTCTTTAATTTCTGTCAGCAAAGTTTTATAGTTTTGAGTGTACAAGTCTCTCACCTCCTTGATTAATTACTAAGTATTTTATTCTTTTTGATGAGAATTTAAGTGGAATTGTTTTCAAAATTTCCTTTTTGCATTTTTCATTGTTAATATATGGGAACACAACTGATTTTTGCATGTTGATTATGTATCTTCAACTCTGCTGAATATGTGTGTTGGTTCTAATAGAGTGTGTGTGTGTGTGTGTGTGTAATTGTTAGGGTTTTTTACAAATAAGATCATGTTAAACAGAGATAAATTTACTTCTCCCTTCCCAATTTAGATACCTTTTATTTCTTTTTCCTGCCTAACGTTTTGGCTACAACTTCTAATAGCATGTTTAATGAAAGCAGCAAAAGTGTGCATCCTGCTCTTATTCTTGCTTTGGAGCAAAAGTTTTGTCTCTCACCATTATGATGTTAGATGTATGTTTTTTAATATAAGCCTTAATTATGTTAAGGTAGTTTCTTTCTATTCCCAGTTTGTTGAGTGTCATTAATATGAAAACATGCTGAATTTTGTCAAATGCTTTTTCTGTATGTGGTATATCACACATATGTAATATACTGTGATATATTACATTGATTGCTTTTCATATGTTGAAACATCCTTGCATTCTGGGGATATATTACACTTGGTCATGGTGTATAGTCCTTTTAAAATATTGCTGAATTTGTTTTGCTATCATTTTGTTGAAGATTTTTACATCAATGTTCAAAGAGGATACTGGTCTGTAGTTTTCTTGTAGTTTTTCATCAGGCTTTGGTATCAAGGCAATGCTGGTCCCATAGAATTAGTTAGGAAGTATTCCCTTTTCCTCCATTTTTTGGAAGAATTTGAGAAGGACTGGTGTCTGTTTTTCTTTAAATGTGTGGTATAATTCTCCAGTGAAGCCATCTGGTACAGTCATTTTATTTGTAGGTAGGTTTTTGATTACTGATTCAATCTCCTTACTAATTACAGATCTATATGGATTTTCTATTTTTTTCTAATTCAATCTGAGTAGGTTTTGTGTTTGTAGGAATTCTTCCATTTCATCTAGGGTATCCAATTTATTGACATACAGTTATTCATAGTATTCTCTTATAGTCCTTTTTATTTCTATAGAATTGGCAGTGATGTCCCCATTTTTGTTCTGAGTTTAGTAATTTGAGTCAGGTCTCTTTTTTTTCTTAGTCAATATAGCTAAAAATTTTCAGTTTTGTTGATCTTCTCAAAGAGTCAATATTCGGTTTAATTGATTTTCTGTATTATTGTTCCATTTTCTATTTTATTTATTTCTGCCTTAATCTTTATTATTTTCTTCCTTCTTCTAGCTTTGGGTTTAATTTGTTCCTTGTCTAGTTCCTTAAATTTTAATGTTATGTAGTTGTTTCTGAGGTCTTCCTTTTTTTAAAAAAAGATTTTGTTTATTTGTCAGAGAGAGAGCAAGCGAGCACAAGCAGGGGGAGCGACAAGTAGAGGGAAAAGCAGGCTCCCCACTGAGCAAGGAGCCCCAGGACTCTGGGATTATGACCTAAGGCAAAGGCAGACACTTAACCAACTGAGCCGCCCAGGCATCCCATGAGATCTTTCTTTTTTTAATGTAAAAAAGAAGGGTTTTCTTTTTTAACCCATTTACAGCTCTAACTTCCCTGTTAGTATTGTTTTCCGTGAATCACTTAAGTTTTGGTAGGAAACATAGGGCCAGAAGACAGTGGAATAATATTTTTTAAAGTGCTGAAAGAAAATAACTGCCAATCCAGAATTCTATATCTAGTGAAAATATCCTTCAGGAATGAAGGTAGAATGAAGATATTTCCAGATGGAAGAAAGCTACTAAAAGGTTTTGTTAGCAGACTTGCTCTCAGCCAATAACAATACCATAACTGTGGTCAACACTTCAATAAGACTTACTATGAATCAGTTGTTGTTCTAAGCATTTTATATGAACTCACTTAATCCAAAAGGTTAGTACTATTAACATCCTCATATACAGATGAGAAAAAAAAAAACAAACCAAAAAAATGTTAAGTAGCTAGTAAGCAGTAGAGCCAGAATGGAACGCAAGCAATCTGGCTTCAGAGATGATGGTCTTAACTATTACTTGGTACTATCCTGTAACTGACTTGCACAAAGTAACTGGAGGATATTTCATCACATAGATGAAAACCATTTTAAACAGATTTAGTAATTAAAAAAATTTTTATTTAATGCTGCTCTCTAGAGATAAAAATAGGAAGGCAAGGAAACAACTTTGATATATTACTTTGAAAAAAAGTTCTATAGAATTAGGATGAAACACTGATTTATCAACAGTAATCATAACAATAAACATTTTTTGAGTACTTACTATGTGTCAGGAGTTGTTTTGGGGTCTGAGGATATAAAAATGAACATGAAAAAGTTCCTGTTCTTAGGGATTTTATATAAATTAGGTTATACAAATAAGTACATAATTGCAATATAGCATGTGCTATAATAGAAGCACGTACAAATCCCAAGGAGAATACAAGGTAAAAATGCTGTAGAAAGTAAGCATCAGTATAATCATGGCTGTTTTAAAATAGTAATTTTTTAAAAGCCTAGAAAATGTTCACAAAAAATGAACATTTAGGAAAATATTCCACAATTTCTTATGCATAACTCATATAGACTACTATCTCTGTTTTAAATTTGTAAATAAACTCTCAGTTAAATCAGCAATGAACAGGAAAAAAAAAAAGCCACAAGAATCTGTTACCACGCTGTGTATTTATTTTAATTTTTGAAGCCTTCAGCATAAAGATGATGGACTTATTCTAAAGTACTTAGAATCAACTCCTGCTGATTAATTTTCTATCACTCAGCAGTCATGTGGATTCAGAAGGTAGAAGAGGAATTAATCCAGAAAATTCTTTCAATAAGACAAAAAGTGCTATTTCTATACTGTATCAAGAAAGCTATAAAGAGGGCGCCTGGGTGGCTCAGTTGTTAGGCGTCTGCCTTCGGCTCAGGTCATGATCCCAGGGTCCTGGGATCGAGTCCCACATCGGGCTCCCTGCTCCGCGGGAAGCCTGCTTCTCCCTCTCCCACTCCCCCTGCTTGTGTTCCTGCTCTCGCTATCTCTCTCTCTGTCAAATAAATAAATAAAATCTTTAAAAAAAAAAAAAAAAAGAAAGCTATAAAGAGTTACTTTAACAGTTGCAAAGAATAAGTTCTCCAGCTAAACTGTGGGATCTTTAAGGTGAGGGCCATGTCATAATTTTCTTTCTATCCTTAGTATCTCTGATGGTTAATTTGGGGCCTAGAAAATAGAGTATTTATGTTTGCTGAATTAGATTTTTATTACAAAAGAATTAACAAGAGATGAAGTTTAATTTTTTCTTGACTATATCCTTGTATGTCAAGAAAGAGTTCTTTTATGTTCAAATGTCACTACTTAATTCCATAGAGAAAAGGATCAAATGTGACCCTTGACCTCAGAAGTGTAGGGAATGTAAGTATGTTTAAAAAAAGAACAGCAAAGGGGTGCCTGGGTGGAGCAGTTGATTGAGCCTCTGACTCTCACTTTTGGCTCAGGTCTGATCTCAGGGTCATGAGATCGAGCCCTGCGTTGGGCTCTGTGCTCAGCATGGAGTCTGCTTGAGTTTCTCTCTCCTTCTTCCTCTGCCCTTCCCCCCTGTACTTTCTCTCTGAAATAAATAAATAAATCTTTTTTTTTTTTAAAGATTTTATTTATTTATTTGACAGAGAGAGACACAGCGAGAGAGGGAACACAAGCAGGGGGAGTGGGAGAGGGAGAAGCAGGCTCCCCGCAGAGCAGGGAGCCCGATGCAGGACTCGATCCCAGGACCCCGGGACCATGACCTGAGCTGAAGGCAGTCGCTCAACCAACTGAGCCACCCAGGCGCCCAATAAATAAATCTTAAAAAGAAAAAAAAAAAAGAACAGCATAGAAGAATGATAAGTTCCTTAAAGATCAGCATGGACTTTTAAATTTAAAATTTCTACATGCTATTGTAATTCTTTTTTGCTCTTACTTAAATTAAATGTTATAATATAGTACCTATGAAAGCAAAAAGAATACAGTAACTAATGACCAATTCACATTTCCCTTTAGCTGTGTTTCAAGTGTCTGCGATTAATGGGATATAAACCCTAAGTAACAGAAACGGCATTATTATTCATATTCCATGTGCTATGTAGATATACTTAGTTTTGTATTCATATTTCACACAGGATGAATAAATGGCTATACATAATGATTATGAAACCATACAATTATAAAGTGGCTGTATATTTTTAGATTGCTCTGAGATCAACTGCCTATTATTCAGTGGTCATTAAATCAATAGATTCTAAGTTGATACTTCTGTCTTTAACTTAAATGATGTATGTTGTCCTCATTAAAGGAGATTTTAATCTAAGAGTAACTAAAACAATAACATCACACAGAGAATCGATGTCACCATCTATGTCAACAAAGCCATAGTTTTAAATATACTAACATAATATACTACTAATATACTATTAATTCAGCTTCTTTTTATGACCACACATGAATATGCCTTTTTATAAATTCCTACCAATAAGAATAACTTATTGAAAAAAACCTCTACTGTTTTGTTTTATTAAATTAGCATTTGATGACAATTAATGATTATTAATTGATGATTACCAATAATCACACACAAAAATAATTTTACATCTTAATAAACTGGACTCCTCTCTGGGTTTGGATTGACACCTTTTAGCAAAATATAATATTTTCTAAAAGTTTAAACATAATATGTAAAAAAAAACTTGAGGGAAAATGGTCAAGATTTAGACAGGATACTAAGACTCTGAACTCTGGGGAAAAAAGGGAGCAAATTTAAGTGTTATTGACTGAAGTTTCTTATGTTTATCAGTCTATTGTAGTGATTAGTGGTATGGAATTAATTTTCTTTGCAACATGTTAGTGACTTTCTTACCTAGAGAGCATGCCCAGAGGTGTAACATTAAGTGATCCCATCAGCATTGCCAGGGCCATCCCTGGCGCTTCCCGTTCTATTACTTCTTTTGTGGCCTGTAATTAAAGATTAAATAGCAGACTGAGTGAAATTAGCCAAAAATAAGGAAGGCAGAGTAGTAAAATTAACTTAAAAATAATTATAAATCATACTTTCTATTGACCATACTTTGTAGTTCCCTAAACATTGTTTTTAAGGTATCAAGACTCAGTTCTTCGGGACTAGTGAATAAAAGCTAAGAACCAGGACATCCAGGGAAATTTTATACATTAGCAGACCCTTCTTATCTCTTATAACTCGGAGGTATTTGATGTAAGTCCCATCCAATAACCTAAATTTTAAGATGTAGACTTAGATTGCTATAATAGCTCAACAGATTTTCATAGGGCAAGAAATTTGGGTACTTTTTGACTATTACGCATGAAATAATTAATCCCTGAGATCATTTGTATCTCTCCCAGCTCTATGATTTTATGATATAATTAAAACGAACTCAGGAAGTCATCACATCAACTTTCTCATGTATTTGGTAGAAGAAAAACTCAATTTGCCATCTTCTATATTTTCAATACAAATTAACTATCTTATTTTAAAAAAGAATCAATGAAGTGATAGGCTTTCACTATACAATAGAAGTTTTAAGATAGGGCGTTCTTAACACAAGTGTGGTTAAACCTGAAATAAGAGAATGAAGAAGACAGGAACATTTCATTTTCTAAAGGTCAATCAAAATGGGTATATATTTATATTGTGATGGTAAAGATATGTTTTAGGCTAAAAGTTATGAGTGAAATACATGACCGAATCCATTCCTAATCCTCTATTTCTACAGATGTTAACAGGTTAAAATAATTGGGAGCAATATAGGAATAAAGCTTGCAAAATAAACTATTCCATTAAAGAAGAAGAAAGGCAAATTAAATAAAAGGAAAATTATGGAGGAATATAGAGAAAGGTTGATTTTTTAAGTATTTTATTAGAAGTAGAGAGATAGTACTAAATAAGATTGTAGCTCTGGACAAAATTTAGGTTAAGGACTTGGAAAAGTAAAATGTATCAAGTATGTGTTAGATGCTGGTTGATGTTATAAACTTTTAAGATGCATATAAATTAGTTATTTAATACCTTATAATTATATAGAATAAAGGATTACCAGAATTAATGTGATCTACCGGTCCACTGAATGCCAGCATAATGTAGTATTTAACAATGGCAGAAATTTTAAAGAAATATTAACACTACCATTATGCTTTTCAATAAAACCTGCCTTAAAAATAGAGAATTTTGGGGGCGCCTGGGTGGCTCAGTCATTAAGTGTCCGCCTTCAGCTCCGGTCATGATCCCAGGGTCCCGGGATCAAGCCCCACATCAGGCTCCCTGATCAGCAGGAAGCCTGCTTTGCCCTCTCCCACTCCCCCTGTTTGTGTTCCCTCTCTCGCTGTATCTCTCCCTCTGTCAAATAAATAATTAAATAAATTTTAAATTCTCTAAGAAATTCTTAAATTCCTAAGTTTGGGAGTTAATTACTTTGATTTAAATATATAGCTAAAAAATGTCAAGCTAGCATTATTCAGAATCTATCCGTTGTTTTCCAAATTCAAGCTATCTGGTATGACTTTGAGGTCTCCTGAGAAGAAACACTTTCTATATTACAAACTGCTTTATTGATGTTTATAACTTTTTCTTAGAGACTGTGAAATCTTAGAGTCTTAAAAATCAAGCATGTAGTATTACTGAGAACAATCTTAAAAGAATTCTTTCGATAGGGCTAATATTTATTTCATAATCTACTTGAAAAAGTCACAAAAGCAGTGTTCAACATTTAACGAATTTGGGATCATGTAAAGATGATGTACTCCAAAGTACAGTAGCACACTTTATTTAAGGGAAAATGAAAAAAATATAAAAATAGCTGAGAAGAAGTCTTTCACTTAAACAGATACTTCAAATAACAACATTTATCCATCCATCCAACAAATATTTATTAAGCATCTACTATGTACTAGCTATTATTCTAGGCATTGATGTTACAATAGTGAATAAAACACATTTCTAAGAGTGTGTAAATTCAGTGTCACCTACTACATGAAACACCTGATTGATGAATTACATATGAGAATTACCTACAAGAGATGCAATTCACTAATTTCTATAGATTCTCTAAAATACACCTTTGGATTTGGTTGGGCCGCAGTGGTCTACCTAGAATGCCTTTTCTGACTCTTCAAAGAATTGTTTTACTGTATGCAAGTGGATCCAATGAAATGGCTCAGTGAAACTCGTATTTATATTAGGAAGTATTTGAGGCCATTGTATACCACATTTCTCTGTGATCCTCTTTAAGAGGAGCTATTGGAGAAACTTTCTCTTAAGGTACTCCTCTGTGCCATCAGTTTTTCTTTTTTGGTTTTTTTTTGGTCTTTTTTTAAAAATTACAGTGCTTGTGAATCAAGTTACCCTTGAAAACAGAGACAAATCTGTGGATACTTTTTAGTACAGAACAGAGCTTAATTTCCTCTTATTTTTCCTTGCCTTATTTCCCCACATTTATCTTATTAAAAGTTCTGTTGTGTTTTACGTATTTGGGCAAACCATCCTAAATATTTTTCAGAGTATTAATAACTGTATGGATGATGGATAGATGGATGGATGAAAAAATGTATTCTTTTTTTTTTAAAGATTTTATTTATTTATTTGAGAGAGAGAGAATGAGAGAGAGCACATGAGAAGGGTTAGGGTCAGAGGGAGAAACAGACTCCCTGCTGAGCAGGGAGCCCAATGTGGGACTCCTGGATCATGACCTGAGCCGAAGGCAGTCGCTTAACCAACTGAGCCACCCAGGCGCCCGAAAAAATGTATTCTTTACAGAGAAGTCTTCATCTTTTTCTTAACATAATTTAGGGAGGTCAATTGATGGTGAAGTCCTCTAGATATCTGGACCTATAGACACAAATTTTCTTTATTTGAGAACATAAAAGGAAAATATACGCTGTGGTGATGCCACTAAAAGGCACTAGTGTCTACAGTGGTTAGTGCTGAAGTTGTCAGACTCTTTCTAGGACTACTACAAATCAACCTCTTCGATAAGGTATTTCTAAATAATGCACAAAATAACCTTTTTTACATCTATATCAAATATAGCTTTTCTATAAAACATCAGAACCCTTCTATTTACTTTTTATTTTCTCTTCCTCTAAAGTTGTTTGGTATAGCAGAAAGATCACCATCTGTGAAGTCAGACAATGCCACCACACAGTTAAGCTTCATGAGAGCAAGAGCTGGATGGGTTGCAGCACCTAGCACAGTGCCCAATTTATAGTATGTGTACTAAATAAATATTTGTTGAATAAAAGGATGAATAAATGAACCAATATAGGTTTGAAACGCAGCTGTATCACTTAGTTTCTCTGTGAATTAGAACAAAATATTTAATCTCTTGGAGCTTCTGTGTACTTATGAGTAAAATGGAGATAATAACAAAACCTACCTACATCTTATGAGAATTAAATCACCTAGTATAGAATAGGCATTCAATACATGTCAATTCTCTTTATGCCTCTTCTTTCCAATTCTCCTTATATCCTTGAAGTTTTGATTATACCAGTTAGAGAACAGGAACAATACAAAAATCCAGAAACCAAACCTAGAAAACAGTGGTTGAAAAGCAACGATGAGGGGAAAGAGAACAGAGAGCAAGAACCTAAATGTAAGAACACTGGCAAGTGGGGAACAGGGAGCAGAATACTGAAATACTGGATCTAAGGAATAAGCAACCAAATGAAATGTTTGAATTGGAAGATGGACAGGAGGGTAAGAGCTGGGTAAAAACATATAAACCATAAATGAAAAGATACAACTAGAAGGCAAAGAGCAAGGGAATAAAACTCAATTTAGAATAAAATGAGAAAATATTATCTATCTAAATTATTAGAAAATAGAAACAGAAGAATAGTTTTAATAAGTGTAGCTTTATCTGTGCCTGTTAATGAAGAGATATCAAGCACTCATTATCAATAGGCTATTTATAATCAATGACAAAAAAGAATGCCATTAAAAGTTTGAAATTTTTTCTTAATTAGCTTAAAAATGTTTCCAACTTTCTTATACATTATTTATTCATCAAATTCTTTTTTCCTTGAGCAATAGCAGAAGTTTATATTCCTACTTCAGATATAACCTTTTCTGAACTACGAGAGTCCAAAATAATAAAGTTTAATTGGATTTAGCCATTCTCTTTAAATAAAACATTTCATTTTTAACTTCTAAATACTTTCTAAACTATGAAAGTTGTTAAATACTTTCTAAACTATGAAACCTCCAATGGAAAATCACTTATTGTGATCTTTTTCTTTTATTAGTGACACTTTCAAGATAACATTAAAGTCAAAAAGTGCTTCAAAGACTGCTCAAGTTGCAAAAAAAAAAAAAAATAGCATGTCATAAACAATGATTTTATAGCCCAGAGAACTGGTCAATGAAATTCAGATCCATTTTGGGCGCCTGGGTGGCTCAGTTGGTTGGGCGACTGCCTTGGGCTCAGATCATGATCCTGGAGTCCCTGGATCGAGTCCCACACCGGGCTCCCTGCTCGGTAGAGTCTGCTTCTCCCTCTGACCCTCCCCCCTCTCATGTGCTCTCTCTCATTCTCTCTCTCTCAAATAAATAAATAAAATCTTAAAAAAAAAAAAGAAATTCAGATCCATTTTAATTTCACAGGAAAAACAATCTTAAAAAATGTTATTGTTAACAGGCAATGATGTTTAAATATGTATAGGACACATATTAGCTAAATGTAAATGTGCATAAATTCCTTATACCTCATTGTGACTGTGAATAAACACTTAGTATAGCACTTTTATTTATTTTTCTAGACATATTTTTGTCAATAATCTATATATTAATAATTATATGCTTGCTACTTGACTATATAAATTTAGTAAAATTTCCTCCTAACAATTCTTGCACTGCCCTCTACTGAATAACCTTAAATAACAAAGAGTATCTTTGAAACACTATCTAATAATGTTACTAATAATATTATTAATAACGTTACTCT